GTGAGTGGGTAATTAGTGAGATGACCCCTTTATGTTACCAGGACACAAAGTCATGAAATCAGGCATAACATGCATAATGTGTCTTCACGTAGGACATCTTTTGAGAACAACAGTTTAGCTTTGAAGTAGGAACCTATTCAACTGCGATTTATAACCAATTCGGAAGGGGTCTCCATTCAATTAGTTCTCCAGGACAAACCACCACATACACTCTAAGACATAAGGCTGATCAGCTTGGCATCTCTTTTGATGTTTCTTGGAAGCTATCAATCTCACCGCTGGATTGAAGCATGCTTAGATGAGAAGAGGTAACGATCAACAACATCCATAATAGAATCTTCAAACCTCACGTACACAAGACAGAGGTGAGTAGGTAAGGGATTGGGACACCGCTGAAACGGTTGCGCCTTGCGTTGACCAAAGTCTCTACAGACGAGTGACGACACTCTCCAATTAGAACTCGTCTGGGAACCCGAAGCGTACTAGTAATAAATGAAGAAGTGGCGTTCCATCATGTATTCAGTACGTACAGGAGTCTGTGGCAATGTGTACTTGTATCTTCTATCTGTGTTGATGAACTGTCGTCCTGTTGTGCCAGGACCAATGGAATAATGGGTGAAGGCCTTGAACATAGGTGGTGGAGATGTCACAAAGGTAATGGGAGTCAAAGACTGTGTCCAACTTCCAGTGGCAACCTTCTAGAAAATTGGATAAGGAGCAGTTGCTGTGTAGGGTCATCGTGGAGGCGACAGCTCTGGACTCATGTGGATTGGATGTCACAGGAAGAGGCAATCCATCAAAGGTATCAGCATGAAGAAATGCGGAACAGATCCAGGAGGAGACCCTGGTACGGGAGACTTCTGTGGTGGCTGTCGTGGATAGTGGGATAGAGTCTCTTCCCAGAGCATCATAGCTTCGCAGTGAGACAAATGTGGAGAACTCTCACCAGACATAAAGAGATGTCTTCATGGTCGTCTGGGTTCAAGATCGAAGCCAAAGAGGGGATGCCAAACAGCAGATGGAGAGTGAAAAATTAGTGAAAGTAGTATGTAACTGTTGAAGGTAATATGCTATTTGTGGAGGTGACGCAGTGGTTGGAGATGAAATACCTTGAGCTGAACCATAGCCATACCTTCCACTTGTGATAGTCTGAACAGCCCTCTGTGAGTGGTGATGGGGGGAATCAGGTTGCGAAGAGTTCAGCCAATGTGTAATCGCTATTACCACTGCTTTGAAATTGAACTTTGAGTTGATGACATGGAGATGAATTCACCTGCAGATTGATGCCCAATAACACATTAATCTAATAAGTGCGCTCACCAATAATAAGTGGTAAAATTTTGACGTGATGTCGTCAAAAGTATCATTAAGTCGAAGCTGTATATTGTAAATCGAGGCTGAATATATAATTCTCCGGTTGATTGATTGTACAAAGCTGGGTGATTGGGACCACATGGAAGTGCATCAGTACCAGCAACCATGCCTTGAAGGAATGTTGATGTTGATCTGTGCTTGTGTTCCCGACTGTCTGTTATCTGGAGAAGTGATGGGAAACATAAATAACTTTTTAGTCAATGGTGAGTGTCCCTGAGAGTCCTAGGGAGAAACGAATTCCTATGAGGGAGTCTGCATGTTCATCCTCCATTATACATCCCCATTGGATTCTTTTGGGCACACTGATTGTCTTAACCTCTAATGGTGATTTCTCCTCAGTTAGCACCGTAAGACGATCCACGTAGAGAATAGGTCTTCAGTATCTAAAGCTTGCCATAAGAGGTGACTGCTTGTAAGAGGAGACCACGGGACCCGAGTTGACAAGCTCAATGACATGGTTGGTGCAGGTCATCATCACAAGGCGTATATTGATGCTCATGATGTTAATCACTGTCCAGTCCAAACTTGATTAAATACATTTTGCCATCATATTAATGTAGAAATACCGCTGAGTATCAGAGACAGTATCGTTCTCCATAGATAACAACATGATGGTAGATGGCTTGGTCTGATTGACCGTTGAAATAGTCAATCATCTGCTGTTTAAGCAATTCATAAGGCTTCTTAGTAGTTGATGACAGAATGCAGTGAAGGCCTGGTCAAAGTTTGTGGATAGAAGGAACATAACTCAGTGGGCATCGTGATGGCGGATGAAGTGGAACTGGGGATGATGAAGCCCAGGAGATGGTCTTCAGTAGAACGACTTCGCTGTAACTTAAGCGTGTCTGCAATCCAAGGCAACATATCTGCCGGAGCGACGTTGTCAAAGCTACCAGTTGAAGAGAGGGGGGAGGCTTGACTTTCAGTAGTGATGTCTGGCTATGCTGATGTAGTGTCAAGTTGAACTGATCCGAAGTACCTGGGTAGAAGTAAAAGAAGTCGTGTTCCGAGGGGGTTACATCGATTGGCCAGTGATTTGTTGAAAGGTTGTAGTCATGGCCCATAGCAGCGCTTCAAAATCTGTAGACAAGAGGTTAGTTTGATCCCAACGATCCCAAAAAGTAGGTAATGGGAGAGTAGTCGGCATGTCCCTTGTAGTAGTCTCATCCACAGGTGGGGTTGTTGCACAGGGGCAGGTGATTGCGTAAGGGACATTGATCTGATAGTAGATCTGGACGGCTGTCGACTGGGGCGGAACCTCGAGAATATGACGAGGGTCAATATCAATCTGCGTAACTATATCGCTCCTGACATCGCTCCCTGAATAGCAATAGTAGTCAGAAGAAGATCTGTTATTTGGATATGGTGGGTATCTCAATCCACGTAACGGTTAGGCGGTGCATATGGGTAGAAGCTCATGTGACGATATCGATCAGTAGGTGAGGGTATCGATTCCAAATGTGATGCCTACATGTGTAATAGCCCTTGGAAGACAGTTGATAGGTGCACTGCTGAGGGCTGGAGTCAGACGATCGAGACTGACTCTGATATCGATGGTGATCTGTAAAATTGGAATGATCACTTCTGGATGAAGAATCGATCAAAAGATTGATATCGAGCTGAGAGTCGATTCAACTGTTGTCATCGGTGCTATGTCGAGTGAGTGAACTACACCATCCCCTGGGGGAGCAGGGAATGATAGTCGACCAGCAGCTGAGGGATGGGGAGCACGGAGATGGTTGATAGCCGTAATTGTCACTGTAGCCGGGGTAGCAATGTCTATGGCCAGTACTGTGCGTTTATCAGATGTAAGTTATAGAGACGTCGGGGATAAACTAGGAGCACTGGTAATTGACGGTGACTAGGTTTTGGCGGGAAAATCTCTGTGGAGAAAGCTATCTGAAACCATGTCATCTTCTGCAAAGAGTGATGTCATGGTAGACGTAGGAGGCTGTTAGACAATCGCTTTGACTGACGAAGTTAAATGTGGCAACACTTGTGCAGGCTGGGCGTCTAATTTTTCTGATCAGAAGCAATAAAAGTAAACAAAAATTGTTTTCTCTACTTGATAACACGTCTCTACATGGAGGCAATGAGAAAGAGAATGATGTGGCATAGGGTGTCAGGTGATCAAACTGCTTACGTCACGGAGCACGGGACCCATTTGTTTGGGAAGTGACTGTGGTGATGTGAGGGACATTCGAGCGAAATGGTTTTAGAAGCTGTAAACTTTGTTGGAGGACGTTTCCACACAAGAATCGATAGAAGAAGGAAGAAATACATAGTGTGAGATAAGTTTAAAAATTTCATTCTTTTAACCCGGCCTTATGATTCCCCCTGCAAAGTTGCATTGCATTTTGTATGAATGGCTGGTCTGAACAAACCAATGATCTATATAATAAAACCGATTTCAAACACTAACCATATCATTCAAGTCTACCGTTTGAAATGGTACAGGTTGTGTTGTCATATACAACATCCTGTTACTAACTGTTAAAATATGGCAGTTATATTGAATCCCGGATTACAAACTTTACAAACACGGTCAACTTGGCAGTCTCTGGGATGTACCCCATTTTCCTGTTACACTAAACATTTACTCCCGTAATCAGGTGGTAATGCATATGTTATCTTGGTGTGACATTTGGTGATAGATTGTATTTGTTTCTTGACATTGCTAAATAGCCTTGATATGTACCTATAGGTGATGGGAATAGTCATGATATAGCCCCAGACAAGCTTTGGAGACATTGCTGATCCGGTCAGATAGGGTCATAACAGGGTGGGACAGGATGAATAGGCTAGCTAACAAAGCATGCAGGTTACCAGGCATGACTAATACCTCTAAGAATATAACGTTTCCCCTTCTGGAAATAAGCATACATATACACAGAGCTATGTGTTATTCTTACCAAAGTGTCGTTGGTGATTGCGAAGATGCAGAGTCGGGGTTGGGTGACGTAACAGGTTAAATGGGTCTTCTCTTGTTTCCACTTCAGGTTCATCGTTTTCATACCGCAAAACTGGCTCGTGTCGTTTCATAAGCGCATGGTCTGAAGATTTCTTGATGGTTCAAGGAAACGTCTTCAGAATCAGATGTATTGGATGCCATGTTGTCTTACCATAAACTGGTACTTGATATCTTTCGCGTTGGGACTAGACAGTGGACCAGTTTAACTTAGCACGTATTACGTCATAATCTATGGGGGGTAACTTTGGCCTGTTTATCACAGATAATAAGGGCCTCATATTGGCAAAACATTTATTTATATACACTGATATTAGCCAATTCTGAAATTGCTCTTTTTTTATATAAGAAAAAAGTGATTTGTGTGTGTACACTTCTTCTTTAACTGTTCCTTTACATAAATGATATAAAAGTGTATGTATGTAAGAATTGGCACTGTTGCTTACTCGTTGACATGGCAGATATGTTTTTGGACAACCAAATATTTTTATGACAGAGATGGGGTCACTCACTGATGATTGCCAACCCCAAAACTTTTGATAAATGAATCCGGAGGTTCAATACTTGCAACACTGCAGTACATATTCTCATCATTATGATCACTTCCTTTGATTTGTCATACAAAATATCTTTTTTAACTTGTCTTGTAAATACTAACCTCAATTATGATATCTCCTGTCTTCAAATCACTTGTAGCATCAAGTATATTCTCTTGTATTCCACCAACTGCAATTAAGGTAAATGGTGTGACACCTTTAGATTTGACAGGTTGAAAGGCACTACCTGGTCCACCAAGGCAAGGGTAATGGCCTGTAGGCACGGAGGAAATCCCAGGATCTTTGGGAGTTTCTCTCAAAGTAGGTAGCTCAACTACATGGTCTGTTAGTTGAAGAGATTCATACAAAGAGAGTCCTCTAGGAAGTACAACCTTTGTTCCATGAAAATTATACATTTGAGCTAACTGATACAGGTTTGGAAATTTGGCAGCAGGTATTTTGCAGCCAATGTCTCCCTTTCCATTAAATCTCCAATTTCCAGGAAGAGTGGCACAGTATTGTGAATCAGCAGAGTGTTGTGATGCTACTTGATGTTGAAGATATGCATCAACCTGCTGTCCAGAACCCCAGGATGGTTTGTGAGATGATGAGCCAGACTCCGTCGAACAATGGACACCACTAAATCGTTGTTCTGGGTCCCTATTACTATCACTCCAGTGCCTCCGAGCAGAGATATTTTTAGATCTGAGAGGATTTTCAACTTTGTTGTATCTTACATTTACAGGTATACTCCTATGGAGGACTCTTTGAAGACTTGGTCTCTTACTCACAAGGCTTTCTTCACTGCTTTCAGAAGGAATCAAATTTAGATTTGGCTGAGAGGCATAATGTGTAATCTTTTTGCCACTTGTATGATGACTGAAATGACCTGCATCAAGAACAGTTTCTCCATGTCTAGGTTGATAATTATCATTGTGGTATTCCTGAAAACTACCATCCTCTCTCACAGGGCGAAATCCATTAATGGTTGCAAGAAATGTTTGATGTGAGTGTTCCATTCCTTTCAGTACATTATTTTTGATAACAGTGTCCAGTGTCACTTCTCTCCTATTTGCACTCCCTTGACTGGATGTATCAGGAAAATCATAATCAACAGTGTTATTTCCAACACGATCATAAGAGGATGAATGTAAATTATCTGAATAATTGCTTGTGTACGTTGTTTGTGGCAGCCTTGAGCCCTCAGTAGTCCTTCTCTGATTGTTTGAATGAGAAACCTTTGTGTTCATAATGTCAGCGTCAAAACCATTGTTTGTGACATATCCAGAGTCTAATGTACTGCAATGTGAATGTGAATGAAGAGTTGTTTGCCCTGAATCTGTGCTGTAGTCTGGCACCTGGGGTGTACAGTTCAGCGATAGCAAGTGCCCTGGTCTCACCCCTTTGTGCTGGTGAGCATCACATGGAGCTCTACATTTTGGTTTTCTGTAATTAGCTTCAGACAGAGTTGTTTCTGTATGCAGATAGTGTGGTGCTCTGTCCTGAGCGTTTCTAGGTGTCCTGTGACCTGCACTCTCACCAGGATAAAAGAAACTGGACACTTCATTATCTGATGGAATGACTACATTATGTTGAGCATCAGATTGGTGTGGTGTAACTGGCATTGAACTCACTGAAATTGTACCTTGACTAGCTCTACTATTCAATGCCATCCTTGCCTTCATTAGCTCTGTGAAACGTTTAATTCTCTCAGATGCTTCACTCACTGGCACATGAGGCAGACTCCTTTTTCCCTTTAGTGAAGTTATTTCCCTGGATGAAACAATGCTTGGCGACACTCTACCCTGGTCAAGGCAGTGACTTTGTTGTGATAAGTGGCCACTTTCACATGCATGTTCTATCAGTTTCTGAGTTGTTTCTTCAGGAATATTTCCGTTAATTTCTGTAAGTTGCCTCAGCCTGGATTCTTTCAGTAAGCCAAGAGATGTTTTGGTATGTTGTGTGGTCAAGTTAAGTTTGGTAGTCAGATTTAACATGCTGCCAGCATTTCTCTGCCCAACTACTGATAATGTGAGCCCGGTTGTTAAATTGCCTAGGCTGTGAGCTCGGAATACATGGTCAGGAGTGGAGTTGCCCAACTCATCACTATCTGTGTTGAAAGTCGTGTACAACTGGTCAGTTGTTATTTGTCCTTCATCATGATCTAACTCTGGTACCAAGGGGAGGATCGGTATGTCTGTACAACTATCATACGTTGAGGACAGGGCAGCAGCATCATCATGCACTGGCACTGTGTCCTTTACCACCCTGTGGGATGAATTGTTGTTTATTTCTCTGTGAGAAGGAGATTTATGGTTGTTTCCAATGTTCCTTGTCATTGATATGGGTATGAACACATGTGATGTTTTGTGCTTTTGGTGGGCATTGTCATAACTTTGTTCCTGTGGCAAATGGTGTGCATGGGTGACATCTTCGGTGGTAGCTGATGTGCAAGACTCACTATCTTCCTTTTTCTTCAACTGCAACATAACAAGATCAAGTCTTACATATCTTCACATAGATCATGAATGACTAAGGGGAAAGCGTGATTCTTTATGTTCTACACTACACATGTATTGTTTGCTATCCCAGCCTACATGAGAAATGTGCAAATATATCCAAATATCCAAAAAATTACATGTAGTTTTTGATACTATAATGATACTAAGGAAAAGTCGGTTCATATTATAGATATTTTTTCCATGATTTAATTGCCCATAATTAGTGGTGCATATTAAAAACGAGTGTGTATTATGCATGAAAAAATATGTGACTTTTGTTTGAAGTTTTGCCAGTTATGACTATATCTGTCAGCTTTAGAAGTCCATGTAAATACTCACACGACTCGTGTGCTTTCTCAGCCTGGTCATTGTATTACTGTAAAAATGCACGGGTATATCTCTGGGTGGGGATAATTGATCGTCTGATAAATAAACATTTGCCCAGCTGTGGGCCTTCAACATCTGAAACAAAAGTATATAAATATATGTTAGCCAGTACATCCTTTGAAACAACTGTACATTCTGTAAATTACAGTGAAACCCTGGTAAGTAGAAAATGCAGGGGCCTGGAAACAATCGCTACCAATCAGGTTTTCTAGTTAACCAACTATGACTTTTGTGCCATTATTGATTCATCTAGCTCATTAGCAAGATGAACTCAATGTCAACTCATTGTGATTAGAGATGAACAGGACAGTTTGTGCTGGGTGGGGATAAAATGTTTCTTCTTATCAGATATAAAACAAGAATAATTATATAGTGAGCGTGCCAGGGACCAAAGAAAAGTATCTACATAAGAGGTCTTTCCACTCCTAGACTAAACTGAACCATCAAATGATTGCAAGTAGCCCTACCTTTGAAAAGAAAAGTAAAACCCTCTCCATAACCAGCAAATGAGACCAAGGATGTGGACTTCAATAATGCAGTATGGGTAATAGCAGTTGGAATGAATACAATTATTTACTTTATTCACAAACAGGATTTCAATGCGATCAGGTCAAGGAAATGCCAAACAAAGCTTATTCAAATGAAAATCATGTCAGGTCAACAAATGAATGTTTTAGAGGTTCCAAGTGTTGTTTCATGAAATAGCATGATGTTTTGAACGTAAATAAGCTATGCCATGTACCAGTATTCTCATGTCAGTTTTTACTGTGCTGGTCACACTCACCACATAGAGAAGCAGAGTTTTGCCTGCAATAGAGATTATTTGACCAGGCTGCACAGGACATTCAGGTGATAACTCCAATCTGCTTTACCCACTTGCGTAAACAAAACCATTACCACCTTTGTGATGGTACTTATAGAGAAACAGGAAATATGGCCATAAATTACATTGTTTCATGGAAGTATTGTAATGTGATTGATGCCATTTGTTTCTGGCAAGAATTGAGGTGGCATAACCACCACCCCGACTAGTATGATAGAATAATTTCCGTTATATGCAAATATATCCAAGAAGAATAAAAGCATATTTATGGATGATTGTCAATTGTCAATAATTTCATATATCATCAGTTCATTTGTTTTCAATGCCATAATGTTGAACACTCGCAATTGAGAAAACAGTGAGTCATGAGTGGTGTAGGTCGTCTGTTTGATGGGAGGCAACGGCAACTTGTCATTCGTCTTTGTGCGAGTGAGAGTATCATTGGCATGACAAATGACTTTGTTGGTACAGGAAGGCTAAGTGTGTTGAATGTACGTGTCATAGACCGTGCCAACTCTGGCTTGGGTGTTCAGTTGACAACTCAGACACTGCAGGTGGTCATTCAGCAGATGATAGATTTCCTCTATCCTCTGTCAATTCTGTAATTGTGCAGTCTGGTTTGAATAAACCAATAGTCACTGCCAGCTTTACACCACTGGCAATCGATGCAAGATCAGAATCTGGATCAATAGCCACCCTGCCTGTAGCTGTTGACAGTCAACTATGTGTGCACCACGCCATGTGGGGGCGAAGTATCCCTGCTAGACTGCTATAGCCTTCTGTTGACAGTCAACTATCAGTGCACCACGCCATGTGGGGGCGAAGTATCCCTGCTAGACTGCTATAGCCTTCTGTTGACAGTCAACTATCTGTGCACCACGCCATGTGGGGGCGAAGTATCCCTGCTAGACTGCTGTAGTCCATTTGATCCTGTGTAGAACAAGATGTAGCAGATCATCCTGTTGGTGTGCTAGCGGTAACTGCTGATCATGTGTGTGAGGAGGGGTTCTGTTACGTAGGGACAATTGAGGCTTATGCTGCACACCAGACAAACATCTAGCTGCTAACCTGTTGGTAAGATCAGCCTCCATACTGATGACATCTAGCAAATCATGTTGATTACAATTATCCGTATTGAGGGGAGAGATGTGGTCCGTCAATACTCAATAAGAGACACATAGAATGTCCGTACACACAACCGGCTGTTATAGGTAGATATAGTGTTGGACATTTTTTACAAACACTGATCCATCATGGCCATAATAGACAAGGTGATGGATGCCTTCATGGACTCAACCATTGATTGGAATAGCAGCTGAAACATGCTGACAGTGATGGGAGTAAACTGCAACACTGTTGTTTCCATATTACCTCGGTGATGGACAGATCGGGGCTGCTTGAGGACCCTGTCACCATACATCACCAAGTGGTTGGATGACCACTTCTTTGTGGAGGACTTGACTATGGTGTAAGGTAGAAGTAAGGTATATGATGGAATTACAGCTTTTTCAATATGGCTGATGAAAATTTGGATCCAAAGTTGTTGGGGTGTTAAGTCATAGGGTCTTGTGGTTTCCGAGGACATAATGTTTACAGTGCGAGGAAACGCATTTTGAGAAAATTTAAGATCGTGGTCAAAGTGCAAAGGTAACATCAAGGTAAAAATATTGCGAGAAACGGAACATGTGTGTTGAGCCCTACTTCTAGCTACAAATTTCATTACATTTTCAGGAGTTGTGGGACAGCCTACTGGTTTATGGGTTCGCTCATCACAATGAAGGCAATGTGAAAAGCCCATTCTGGTGTCCCCTGTGGTGATATAGCTGGAATATAGCTAAAAGCAACATCAAACCATACTCACTCATTACATTTTCAAAGACAATGGCTGAATAATGGCCATAAGAAGTTTCAATTTTCAGTGTGTCCAAAAAGATTTAAAATATTTTTAAAAAAACAGAACCTATATCATGTATATGTTGCGCCCCACAACTAAATAGGCATCCACCAAATTTAATTTCTTTTTTAACAAAAATGACTAAGTAATCGCTGGAGTGAAGATAACCCCTGAATTCAAAACAAACTATTGAAACAAGTTCAGACTTTTAATGTATCTAATTCAGTTACACTATTTTCTATAATTTACAATGTTTCGCCACTTATTGTTGATAAGTTCACTTTTTATATTTGAACTAATTTACTATATTGTTTTACAACAACATTTCTATCCTAAATTCCCGTCTTGGGACTAAACTATACGCACATGTTGCCACCTGACAACTTTTGCACTACTGAACACAAAACCACAGTAGCGTAACATGTTAAGTTCCTCTTGCACGTGAAACACAACATTTTCATGTCCAAGGAATGTTCGTTTGGGTGCGTTTTGGCGCACTGTTTTTAATGCTGCGTTTTTGCGCACAGTCCTTCTGTCCATTTTCCCCCGCCTTGATTGACTATAGTCTATCAACAAATTAAATTACTATCCTCAGTTCACCATGTACATTTCCTTGCACAGTTCTTTGCACAGTTCTTTATCCTTGAATACTTTATCCTTGAATACTTTATCCTTGAATACTTTATCCTTGAAATCCGTTCTTTGCACAGTCTTTGTTATGATAGTTGCTTGTTTATAAGCTTGATGAACGGTAGAACAATGACCAGTTTAGTTCATAGGCGATGGTCGCCATGCTTTTATTACTAGCCCAAAATATAGTTCGTACAAAAGTGGCATTAGCACTTTAGACGAAACGGGATTTACATATAAACGAAATAAGATTGTTAATACATCTTACAACATCCCCCTCCTTTAAGAAGGTTATACATAAACACAAATGCTGATAGCACCTTGAGTATCTAGAGTCTTTGGATAATGACTAGATAAAATACTGGAGTTGTCTATGGTGAAAAAGTCTGGTAACTCCATTGCACAATGGGGATGTGTATGTTCAATACACTAGATGGCTAAGATGAACAATTACTGATTTGTAATACAGTTCACAGATTAGAGTCATTTGCACTGATAACCTGAAATAAAGAAATAAACACATTGCAGTCGTCTGAAGCAATACCTGCCAAATGGCGTCCTAAATGTTGTCAGGAGCTGACATTTCTCGTCGAGATGTATAGACCAATAGCCTGCCTTGGCATCTAGCTTGGAGAAGAATTTGGCTTTGGCAAACTCCGGATTCAATTCTTCCAAGGTAGGTGGTATCTTGGTTGGACATCTTTTTAGAGCTTGGTTCAGGTGAAACGGATCAAGGCATATGCGTAAGGAGCCATTTTTCTTGGTGACGTACGTGAGTGAGGAACACCAGTCTGTATGTTCTGTTACACGTTTTATCACCCCGATGCTTTCCATGCGATCTATTTCAGCTCTGATTTTATCCTTCAGGTGTATGCTGCACTTCCTTGGAGGATCACAGAAGGGCTCTGCATCTGGTTTCAAGGTCAGTTTAGCAGATGTATGAAAGTTCCCGATAGTATCAAATTGTTGAGGATACTTCTGTTTCAGATCTTCCACACTGTTGATGGGAGAAACTGTTTCTGGCTTGATTTCATCACAGTTGATTGTGACTATGTTGAGTGATTCACATGACGAAAGACCAACAATGGCGGGACCTGGAACGTCGACTACGTAGAATAGCGTATTTTCAAAAATAGAGTCTCTGAATTTACACTTGATTGACATGGTACCAACACACTTGATCTCCAGACCGTTGTAAGCGACGAGCTTGATACCGTCTGCAGGTTGGAGAATATCCGCATATGGACGATCTCCGTACATTTGTCGAAATGTTCGAACAGGAAGTGTGTTTCCAGCCGCGCCAGTGTCGACCTTTAGACGAAGACTGTGGATCCCTTTGATCATCGGAGCTTTGACCTTGAGATCTGTGTAAGCTGAATCACGGCTTGTGTCGATAGCATCCATGCATTGGTTGGATATGGTGACTGCATGATACAGAACAGAGTAATCTTCATCATCGGTAGTAACTGGATCGTTATTACCATGGTTACTGTCAACTGAGTTGAAGGTCTTTGCTGGTTTCTGTCTATGTCTACTTTTCGATCGGTGTCTACCTTGTCGAGATGTCTTCCACTTGGTTTTTCGGCAGAACTTGGACCAATGACCTTTGGTATCACAAGCATTACAGGTGTCTTGATAAGCTGGACAGGACTTCGGCTTGTGTTTCAAACCGCAATTCGGACAGGCTCGATACTTGTGGTTGATGGCGTTTACTTCGGCAGTGGTAGC